CTATTACCTGCCCAATCCTATCAGTCCCGGAGGCACTTAGGACTACTAGTCCTAAAGGGTAGGATATTAGGCTAATTGGTTTCAAAGGATAAAAATCTAGGGCGACATACAAAAACACATACTGTATGTTGGGGGGAAGCATGTAACATATAAGGGCTCATGTATACCTCCTAAAACAAAACACATAAATAGCATGACTTAAACACAATTAAGGTCTCAAAAGATAGGAACTTTTATAGCAGTTAAAACTTGGTTTTATAAAATAAAGTAGTAACAGTAATAGCACGATTCTGGGCACAGATGGGTAACCCAGTGATGAAAATCAGAAACTTAGTAAGAGTAAGATAGGTGGATCATTTCAAAATCGTTTCCAGATGAAGCAGAGTTTTTAAGAAAGCAGAGTGAACTTCAGAGAATCGAAACAAGAATGGGAACGGCAGAGTTGAAATTGAAAGAAGTTGGTTGGTTTTAAGCTAATAGAAACACAATTGATCAGTTATTATCGGTCCTAAAGTTTGCCTAGGCGTTGTTATACATTGTCTGATTATTTAAATGATGGGCATGCATATTTTGTTTCTGATTTAAAAAAAAAGGTACGCGTGATAAGGTATTTGCAGAAAACGTTTTAAACCACTTAGCCATATTTTAACAAAGTAATTAGACAAATGTGAATTGACTACTGCAACTCGAACGAGTGAGAAGTCCTAAGGGCAGGATATCTAATGCACATAGAAGTACCTAAAACATGGTTTCTAACATGCCAATGTAGTAATGACAAATTAATTGGCTTGTTATTAATTATTTGCTGGTTATTAACTGATTGTGGTTACAAGATGAGCGTAATGACAGGCTAAAAGTAAAAAACCTAAAGCAGGATCTCTAATGAATGAGATGCATGTCCTATGCAAGTTGTCTATTGCGCAGATAAATAAATAAAATCCTATAAGCATGTTTTCTACCCATCATTTATACTAAGCATGCATAACCCTCCCCCATATTCACTATTCAACCCCAATTGTTTGTTTACAAATTATTACAAACCAGTATCATTTGAACTACAGTAATAAAGAACAGAAAAATATAAGAAGCTATTCTATAGGGAGCCTTCAATCAGGCCCAGTCTTCCAACCTCAACCCCTTCGAGTTTACAGCCTTTGCCATGGTCTAGGTGCGGCAAAGCTCCCTAGGGCCCCATTGGGTCCCTGGCCAATACCAGCACCTAAACACTTAGAAAAATACAGGACAGGTGCAGTGTGGAATACCAGTCTTGTGTGTGAAAGTTCAGTGAGTACTCAGAGGTACTCAAAGCAATGCTCACACGAAGGGGGCAGAACCTATTCTCTAAGAGTAGTGTGAAGTGCAGGAAGAAGAGTTTTTCAAAATAAGGGGGTTTGTTTTAAAAAGAAAACAGCAGAAACAATAGTTCAACAGTACATGATTGCATACAAGGATCATGGGGAAAGGGGAACAGATAGATCGCACAATGCTAAAAGAGTTACAAAGGTTTAATGAACATGACTACACAGAATCAGGGGATTCAGGGGAACTGGGAAGTAGCAAAGTTTAGCCAAGCTAAGGTATAACAATGGGACATAGGCATAGCAAGTAGAGTTAGGGATAGACAAAGTCATATTAGCATGCAAATCAGAAGACATGGTGAAGTATTAAAGCAAAGCATCAATTACACATTGAGCAGGAGAAGCATAAATAGAAGAAAATCAGAAAGACAATGAACTGAAATAAAAGTAAACACATTGGTTGGAGAGTAGAAAATTAATTAGGACATACCAGTGAAAAACCAAGAGCAGGATGCAAAGACAAAGTAATAACACTATATTAGCCTTGGCTTTCAGCCGGCTAATAAGAAGCAAGAGCAGAGAATAGAGAAAAAGCAAGAGAAAGAGCACAAGAGAATGCAGAATTGAGAGTGTTCTGTGATGTGTGTGTGTTAAGAAGACTTCTGTCGTGCGTTTCGTGTGAAAGACTTAGGGTATTTATAGTTGAGAGTAGGTGGTGAAATAAGGTAAAAAATCACAGAAGTATGTTAATTTAAGAACTCAGAATCAATTAATTAGAGAATCAAGGAAGTAGTCCCATTAATTAAGGGAATCAAAATCAAACGAGAAGATTCGGCACCATATAAGGCAAATAGAAAAATCAGTGTAGGATTAAATAAGGAAGAGTCAAGGTTCAGTATTGCATATAGTAGCCAATTAAGACCAAATTCAGGAAAATTCCAATTAAGGAAAGGCTAGGTGGAATAGAGTACTATAGCAAATAAGGTAACAAAAATCAATTAATTTAAACAGGCGAGCAGAATGCTAGGGTTTTGAAAGAGAGTTTTTAAATTACCAATCAGTCAAGGAAAATCAGAATCAATCATGCGAAGTCATGATTCTGCATTCTCAGCATATAAATAGAGGTGAATGAACAAGAGTAGCAAACAAAACTAACCATATAGACAGAAGGGAACAAGAGATGAACAAACACAACCACTCAGAGATAGTGAAAACAGGTTAAGATTCAGCAGGACATATTCGAAGCATGGTGACCACGAAACATTAACAAGAATCAAGTAAATAGGCTAGCAGACAGAACCAAAGCAAGGAAAATTAGGTTAACACACACAATCAAACGAAGAATCATGCTAACACATAGAGACAAGGCAAAGAAAATTAGGCTAACACACATAATCGAAGCAAAGAATCATGCTAACACATAGAATCAGAGTAAGGAAAATCATGCTAACACACATAATCAAACGAAGAAATATTTTTTAGAAATTAGGGTTTTTAGCAGAGTTAAGCTACAAATCGGTCAAAAATAAATAAGGAAAAGGTTTTAACCATAAAGAAAATTGGTCGAAACATGTGTAAAAGAAATCCAAGAAACCCTAGTTTTTTTTCAAAGAGAGTAAAAATGGTTCAAAGTAGAGAATCTTTCAGAAGAAGCTCGAGAATAAGCAGAACATAGAGGAAAACATGAAAATAGCATGAAAATAACAACGTTTTAAGAGATTCAGGAGAGAGTTAGGGTTTCACAAGGGAAACCCTAGTAGGAGTTGAGGGAACCTGTTGAGACTTCACAGATCGTGACATATAGGGTGTGATTTCGCCTGAAATCACACCAGAGAACTCACAGGTAGCAGAACCAGGAACCCTAGGTCTCAATCGACATGGCCCATAACCTCGAAGGTCCTAGAGATGTTGAACAGGACGATAAGAGGCCCATCGGAGCCTTGGGGCTGAAAGGAGGTGCCCGGAGATGGCCGGAATCAAAACAGGCGAAGCTTTCAGGGACTGATTTACATGATGGGGGCTTCTGGGGTCTCAAAAATAGAGGGAATCGGTGAGTTAGGATTTCATGGCGGCTGGTGGTCAAAAGGGGTGAGATTGGAGGTGACCAGAGAGACGGTGGAGATCATCGGAGAAGAAAGAACCAGAAGGTTCTAGAGAGAAGGGAGAGGAAGAGACGAGATAGAGAGAGAGAGAGAGAGAGAGACCGTCTCGTATAAATGAGGGGTCTGGGGGGTAATTTAGACTTAATTAAGGCAAATGAATCTGGGTCGTTGATCTCATTTGATCAACGGCTCAGATTAAAACGGGGTTACACCGAGTTATACTAGGGATTGGGCTGGGTTAGTTTAATTGGGATATTGGGCCAATTAAAATCTGATAGGGGGTATGGCCAAATTGGCTAAAATTGAAATAATAAAGGGTTGTTTATTAAATAGCCAATTTTCCCTTTTTTATTATTTTATAAAATAGTAAAATAATTTTAAAATAAATTAAAGGTACTGGACTAGTTAATAACGTATGAGTATTAATTTAAAAATGCTAAAAAATAATTTCGTAATTGTAAAATGCTGTTAATTGTAAAATAGGCTATAATTGCAATTATATGCAATTTAGCTTAAAAAATACCAAACAAATGTGTAAAAATATGAAAAAAATTACCTTAATTATATCTTGTTGTAAATATGAGAATAAAAATAAATTATTCACCAAAAATGCCAGTTTGGGAATAATTATTGAATTTTGTACTATTAAAATAGACAATAAATTGATTTTAAAATCTTTAAAAATAAAGAAAAAATACCAAAAACTCTTGGGCATGCTTATATATGCATGTACATGCTATTTTGAGAATATTTTGAGCATAAAAATACGTAGGGAAAAATTGGGCATCAACACCGGCAAACCCATAAGTTTGTAGCAAAACTCTGACATGATGACTTATAGACTCGGCTGTACTCCGAATGAGGTGGAGTCTTACCGATCCTTCGCTGAATGCTAAATCGTCTACTGTGAGGGCTCGTCAAACTGATTGTCTATACCTGCAGGCATGAATGCAGCGTCCCCAACAAAACGTCGTCGGCACATAAATAAGTATATAAAAGACATTGGAGAAAACATGGAGTACATGACTCAACCTGTATGTCTGAGTAACTCAGTAAATCACGAAATACTTATAGTGTCATGTATATGCGTATGAATGTCATGTCGTGCATAGATACATGTGTTCATAACATCATCAAGCCTCCGAGGACATCCCATCATATCATCTCGGCCACTATGGGCAGAATCATCAACGTATACCAGCTGATCAGGTGGTGGTGCGTATATAACGCCGTAACCTTTTCCCATATCGCATATACATATATATATACATACATATATACGCGTATATAACGCCATCTGGTCATGAGTCAATGTACACGTAAATGAATGCAATGCATGAGAAGTAAGTTAATAAAATCTTTCGGAACGTCATAAGACCATTATGCCTCTGTTTAAGATCATGAAATAAACTTTATCAACTTACGTATTTTCTGAGACTCATGAACAAATAATAGAATAATATGACACATGGGGAATCAAAAACATAGGAACCTCTAGTATTTCAATGAATAGAGTCATTTATGGAAATTGTGCATTTACTCGTTTCGCTTGTATCGTATGGATCATATGCCAAAAGAAAGAAGGGATAGCCTTAACATACCTGATCTATAAGTTCACATTCATGCTTAGTGCAACTTACAAACCTTTTCCACCAAAATTTCTCTTCAAGCCAGGTATGGGATTGAATATATGAATAAGTTCACATACTCTTAAAATCAAGGAATAGCTTGTTGGACTTTTCTGGTAACACCTCGTGAACCAATACGACGAAAACTGTTAAAACAGAACAGAATACATTTATAAATCAACAAATATGCCGTGCGACAACATCATATGCAGAAAATCCTTCACATCATCCAGTAAGTTTCTTCTTTTATAAGGACCGTATATCATAAAAAGGGTAATCTCATTCCGCTTATTGTCAAAATACAAGGCACTCAAAATATTCCTTTTCATCTCTGCAACATTGAAGAGCAAAAGAATGACATGGTATATATTGAGAAGACAGGAAATAGAAAGATTTAGGAATTGAACCTCGGCCATTGATTAGATCCAGGTAAGAAATTTGAGTCTGTTTTCTTGAAGTATTAGGTTTTAAGAATTTTCACCGTAAAGAATGATGATCAAACTTGAATGATCTGTGGAAGAGGAGCTTTAGGCATTAGAAAGAGTGACCAAAGATGACGAATAGTTACGATGCTTTTAGGAATTCCAGAATCAAAGCAATAGGACTGAAGCCCACCGCCTTATTCACATCACCTTTTACTAAAAGGGACACGTTATTAAATCTTGCCAAATCTCATATCTCTAATATTTCCAATGACTTAAGAGTCATAAATGGGGATGGGGTGCTGTCACGTGGGGGTTAATCTTTATTCAATTTTTATCCACTTTATTAAAAATTATCTTAAATTACTTAAAATACTATTCACTTTTAATACACCTTATATAACTTACTATCATTCGGTACAATATAAAATAAATACATACACTATTATTTAAAATATTCATGTAAAAATACATATATTTTTCCAACTTCTAATTTTCCTAATCTCATATAAAGAGTACAAATTTTCGTACGCTAAATTCTTAAAAAGGTAAAAAGATAACCTCCTTCTTTTGTGAGAAGATAATTTCTATCTTTACGATAAAGAAAATCTCATAAACGTTTCTCATATTATGTGTATAATTTAAACACATTCTAAAGTAGTAATATTAATAACTATATAAAATCATATTTTCAAACCATTTTTTTCCTTACAAAAATGTTTCACTCAACATACCATACTAAATATATATATAACGGTATTAAGGTTGTTAAACTTGCAGGATATAACAAGCATGTACACTGAAGCATACTAGAAGAAGACAGCTACAACTTACCTTTACCTTTTACTCTTGTGGATATATTAGATTAGAACTTAAAGGACAAATTAAAAATCTCTTCAACTGTCATCGCCACATTAAAAACACAAAAATGCACGTCGTCAACAAACCAGGATGTGGTATTTTGATAGTTGAAAAATACTACTCCAGTAATATTCATTCTTAGAATAAAAGTTCTTTTCCAAAGAGCTATTAACATTAGCAGAGAATATTTAGAATTTTCTTTTAGGATACATATACATACTATCTGGTCGAAAAGTTGATTTTGGAAGATAAATATTTTATGCGTGAACGCTTATTGTATCCTTAATCATCTGATATTTGAAAAAGACTCAAAATTTATAGACGAAACATATCCTTTATAACCTCATGAATGGTCTTAATCCCTTCAAGCCCATATGGATTACTACGACTCATCCTAATGTATTAAAGTACGGGGTGTAACACATAGCAAAGGAGTCAATAGAATAAGGAGGTAAGTTGTGATACCATATCATATCTCCCTTTGGTAGGGTCTCTCCAAATTTCTTCAGCAAGACAGATTCGATCTCGTCATCCTCCAGATCATTCCCTTTGATGGCGCACGTGCAGGAGGTAACATGCTCGTTTGGGTCGGTCGTCCCATTGTACATAGGAATCTCGGGCATGCGGAACTTAGGGATCGGCTTGGGAGTTGCGCTCGAAGGAAAAGGCTTTTGCACGAACTTCTTGGAGTCCAAGCCCTTCAATACTGGTGACGCTCCTAGGATTTGATCAACCCTGGAATTGTAGGTTTCTACCGCCCTCATGTTGTGGATCCATGGCCTCTCGAACAGGGCGTTGTACCTCATGTCTCCTTTGATTACATAAAACTTGGCATCCTAGATGGTCCCCACAACGATGCACTGGTAATATCTGTACTCATAAATAAATCTCGAGTTAAGCATGTGTTAATTGATTCAGGTAGCTCAGCCAACATCATCGGTCGAGGGTCGTGGAACAGCTCGGCCTACAAGATCAAATCGTGTCTGCAGCCCGAGTTCTGAACGGATTCAACATGGCATGTGAAACCACTAAGGGAAAATAACATTACCAGTGAATGCCAGACCGTTTTTCCCTTGTGATGGATACTTTGGTGCATTTCAACATCGGCCCTTGGGGAACATCGACCCCACCGATGATCTTGTTAATGACGTGTTGAGGTTCTTCTTGTTCGGTCTGTTTATTATAATCCCTATTTCTAAAATGATTCTTGTCCTGGTCGCTCAGGAATTCCCGAAGATACCCGTTGTTGAATAACCGGGCTACCTCTTCCCTCAACTGTCGGCAATCCTCCGTTCTGTGGCCGTGAGTGCCATGATATTTGCACATCTGGTTAGGATGCCTTTGGTCTGGATCAGTTTGTAGGGGCCGAGGCCATTTGGTGTCCTTGATACGTCTGATAGCTTATACGATGGCAGCAACATCGACATTAAAGTTATATTCTGATAACCTTGGTGCTTCTTTAGGCCCGATAGGCCTGTCGAAACCGTTATTGCTCATGTGTCCCCGGGTGCTCTGACCTCAATCATTTCTCCTATCATTACGCATAGAATTCCATCTGGACCCGCTGCTTCTTTGATCTCCATTATACGGCTGGTATCGATCCCTGTTTGACCTTTGTTCACGGTCGATATCTCCCGTGACTCTATCGATGCGTCTGATAGGATAAACGGGCCTGGAAGGGGCCCCAAGTTGATCATCTTCGACTCTGATTTTTGATTGATATCGGTTATGCAAGCGCAAGTAACAGCCGGATACTCTATTAGATTCTGCTTCAACTGTTGTGAAGCCACCGAGCTTCGAACGTTGAGTCCTGGGGTAAAAGATTGAACGGCCCAATCATCAGCGACCGGTGGCAGATCCATCCGTTCTATTTGAAACCAGGACACGAACTCTCTGAGCATTTCATTGTCCTTCTGTTTTACTTTGAAAAGGTCTGACTTCCTGGTCTCGACCTTGATAGCCCCGGCGTGTGCTTTCAAAAAATATTCCGCAAGCATAGCAAATGAGTCAATAGAATTAGGAGGTAAGTTGTGATATCATATCATATCTCCCTTTGATAGGGTCTCTCCGAATTTCTTCAGCAAGACAGATTCGATCTCGTCATCCTCCAGATCATTCCCTTTGATGGCGCATGTGTAGGAGGTAACATGCTCGTTTGGGTCGGTCGTTCCATTGTACATTGGAATCTCAGGCTTGCAGAACTTCTTAGGGATCGGCTTGGGAGCTGCGCTCGGAGGAAAAGGCTTTTGCACGAACTTCTTGGAGTCCAGGCCCTTCAATACCGGTGACGCTCCTAGGATTTGATCAACCCTGGAATTGTAGGTTTCTACCTTCTTATCATTTGCCTCGATTTTTTTCTCCCCCGACTCTATCCGTTTCGTTAGTTCTTCGAGCATCTTCATGATTACCAGGTTGGTCCCCGACTCCTTCTCATTTGATCTCTCTAAGACCGGTTCATCTTAGTGAACAACTTCCCGGGATGGTTCGGGCTCAATCCTACTTGGCGGGCGGCTCTAGTTCTTGAAATGGGTTATCGCCGCCTGTTGAGCCTGTAACGTTTCGAAGATTACCCGCAAGTTGATTCCACCATCTTCGCCACTGTGTGTGCTTTGTGCAACCGATCATTCATCCCTACGGACGCTGTCCTCGGGATCGATGGGCAAATTTGCGTTGATGGCCACATGTGAGCTAACGCCAATCGGGTCTGCGGTCGGGACTCCACCGAGATCGACTGGGGGTACCTTGTTTCCAGGTGCTACGTTGTCGTTTCGCCATGGTGGCCGGACTCATTGTCAACATGTAGGGGTGCTGGTTAAGAGTTCGGCATTTTTAGTTTTAACCCGAAATCAGAGACACTTCAAAGAACAAGTGTAAAATAGTGTGTGTTATGAAAATTGTTATCAAATAACCACTATTATCCTTAGCCCCACGGTGGGCGCCAAACTGTTAACCCTCAAAATTTGATAACAATTAAATTTGTAAGTGGTTTAAAGGATACTGGATTAACTTGACGAAAAGCGATGAATTGAACTGCAATTGAAATAAACAGTGATAAAATAAATTCAAACCACACGAATTGAACACTTACAGCCTTGGGAGGTTAGCCACCCTTGAACTGGATGAACTTTGATCCGTATTAGGACACAGACACAATAATAGTTTAATGAGAAAAATAATATATTGCTTTGGAATGCGTGTTACAATTTGCTTTACAAATGATCAGACCCCCTTTATATAGCAGAAAAATCCTACTTTTAGGTACAGTTCTATAAAAGATAAAAATCTCCTGATTTTCTGATTTGCCGGTTCCTCATTGATATGTGTCGAGATTCCCGCCGCAAGATCTGACCGGTTACGGATATTTCGGCCTTCTGTTGGTTACACTGACAACGTTGCCTCGAGCTCGTTCGAAGTCAGGGTTGATTCCGGATCACGGACTCAATATTCTTGAGGACGGATATTCCGATCTCGGGTTCTAGCCCGGTGGGACCGAGGGTCGACCTTCGGTTCCTCATGTTTCGAGTCCGATCTACCATGTCGTAGACGAGCCCGGTTTATACCATATACAACAATCCAATCTCAGCCTTGACTATGGTGATTATTCGACACAATAATGTTTCGTGTCATTTGTCATGATGTAGTGATTAAAAGCTTTCTCAAGCTATACCGAGAATGAGACTGAATTTTGGTTTTCTTTATAGAACTAAATCAAAATTTAAACATGTTGGAGTTGGTGAAGTAGCTAGTTTATATGACTAGACGAACTTGGACCTCTAACCTTTTAACCAAAGAGCAAGGATGCAGGAACTGGCTACAAAGCAAATGAAATGAGAATTCGGCGCAAAACATGGTTGCTACTTGCAAACTATCAAAGAACTTTGACGCCATTTAAGACCCTCCAACACGGTTAGGGGTGAAGTCATGATTTTGGGTGTGATTGGTACGAAGGAAAACATTTTCCGGGAAATATTTTTCAGTTTTCTTATATTTGGTTAGCTTAAATATTTTGGAAAATATTTTCCTCATCAACTCATTTTCTTCCAATTGAAGGAAAATATTTTCCTTTTCCAAAACTCTTTTCCAACATTCCCCATCGCTACCAACCCGCCCCCTGCCCCTACCTACCCACCCCCACCCTACCCCTGCCCCAAGCCCCACCCCCTCCCTCACCCTCGGCCCCACCCCCTTACCCCCACCCCTAAACTAAAAACTAACTTATTAATAGTATTTTCTTTTCTATATTATAGATAGATTTTTTTCTATTTCTAA